ATTATTTATTAATTTTATTTAACTGTGATTACTTTAATTATATTAATAAATAAAACTGATTAAATAGAAAACATTTATATAGTTCTATAAAATTAAACTGGTTAAATACGAATAATCTTAAAAAAAAAAAAGGTCTTGCAGTTACAATCTATGACGAAAAACTTCATCAAAAGCCTCCAACGCAAAAAAAGTGACCACTGTATTAACGAAACCACTCAACGTTTTTTTCTTTCACTTTTGAAAAACCTCCCAACGGGAAAACTGGATGTAAATGCTTTCCATATTTTTCAGAATTAACTCAATCTTACATCTCACATTATTAAGATAAATAATCATTCTAGGTATTCTCTGTCTTAGCTCATCAGAAGGATTTCATCTCATAATTATCCATGACTGTTTATATCTGTAGCATGACCACTTGATGAAATGTGGAGGGAAGTGGGGTAAACAGCCGATACTATCGGAAGAATTCCTCTTTAGATAATAGGTATTGTAGCTGGTATTCTTGTGATCGATTTAGTAGGCATTTTCTTTTATGGTTCATATTCCAGATCGGGTTCATCCATGTAGTAATCAGATGAATTGTGTTAGCGTGATTCCTTTTGTAAAAAACCCACTTTCTAAAGAGTGATATCACGAAAACATATCTTAAATATAGAGCAATTTGTATAACGACTTCCATAAACGTGATTGGTTGGAAGTGCCTGTATGGGTGTTCAGAGTCTGGTATGCATGATTTGACCTAGGAGTGTTTGATATGGTTTAGAGCTAAACTATAAACCGATTCGTATATACTGTTTGAAGATTTTTTTCAAACCGTAAACTGCATTCTGTATGTCTCAAATCGCACCGCATTTGTGCAATTTATATGGTTTGTACCTAACGTACTTCAATCCAATAATTATTTGACATTATATAATAAAAAGTTCTAATACATATAAAATACCAAACTAAAGAGTTCGATAATTAATTCAAATACATCTGAAAAGAAATTTGACCACGGTGTTTAACAAAAAATTCATTAAAGTAAAGCAAATAAGGTTTCGTAACGTAAAACTTAAAAAGAAAACTAAAAGTTCTGTAAATATTCAATATCGGATTAACTATTTTCATCTGTAACATTAGTAATTTATTTATTTCTTTATTTTTGTATAATAATTAATAAATATGTTTATTTATTATTAAAATATGTTTTTAGTGTATGGTTGGAGTTGATTTTTTATATATTTAATGGACCCATCATTTTTAGTGTTTTTTAGTGGTTGAGTTGGAAATTGTTTTAAAGGTAAAGTAAGACATTGTTTGGCTAAAATAAGCTAGCTTATTTTCTGATTACATGTTTTGATGCATATAAGATAACTTATAAGCTAGTTTATTAAAATGCTACTTGAAATATTTTTTTGGTAGCTTATTGTTGTTTTTTCCAATTATAACCGTCATTAATATTAATTACTATTTGTTACTATTAATTATAAATAAATATTAATAAAATTTAAATATTACTAATATTAATT